TTTCTAAAACACACCCCTGATCGTGTTCTTCTCCAGACGTCTCTACCCAACCTCATCCCTTGCCCTTCCTCTCCATTCCCGTCTCCTCTCCAGATATATGGGACAATCAGACTTCCCCACTACCTCTAAACTCTTTTTCTCCCAACTGTCAACCGCTTCCTTGTCTTATGAATTCCTAATCCTAAAACAGTAAGGCAGCATCTCCAGGTGTCATTGCATCATTTCTTCTCCTTTATCCACAGATTACACTTTATACAGAGCTTTATTATGACACTTAACATCACAATTTTTGTTTAACAATCTCTCTATGTCATTCATCTTTTAATCCCTATCAGTAGATAGCCTGGGAATATATTAGGCCCTCAAATATGTGTGGAAAAAAATATTATTATTTAAATCCTCACCCAAGGATATTTTTCCATCTATCCTCAGACAGAGTGGGAGGGAGGAGAGAGGGACAGAGAGAGAAACATCCATGTGAGAGAGGCACATCGACTGGCTGCCTCCTGCATGATCCTGACCAGGGCAGGGACGAACTGCAACCTTGATCAGAATTGAACCCAGGACTCTTTGGTCCGCAGGCCAATGCTCGAACTGCTATACCAAACTGGCCAGGGCATAAATGTTATTTTTTTATTTTTTTTATTTTTTTATCCTCACCCGAGGATATTTTTCCATTTTTTGTACAGATAGAGTGGGAGGGAAAGAGAGGAAGGGAGAGAGAGAAACATCGACGTGAAGGGACACATCGAGTGGCTGCACCCGCACGACCAACCAGGGCCGGGGACAAACTGCAACCGAAGTACGTGCCCTTAGCGGGAACCGAACCCGGGTCTCTCCGGACCGCAGGCCGACGCTCTAACCGCTGAGCCAAACTGGCCAGGGCCATAAATGTTATTTTTGATAGCAACCTAAAAATTCCTTTCCATCTTCTCCTATCATCTAATCATTCACCAAGTTCTATCATCTCAATCTATGTAATAGCCCTGTTACCAAATCCTCTTCCATTTCCCATTTCTAAGGTTGACAAAACTATGGTAATTGCATTTTGGATTTGGGTGCCTCTACAAAACAGGCACCTGCATTGCTGCTGACAGTTATCTTTCTAAAACACACCTGATTATGTTACCTAACTACTTAAGAAACAAATATATTTGATGACTACCCTTTTTGAGTTGTAGGTGGTTATTTCCCAAGAAAAAGGAAACATTGTCCATTGAGAATTAAAAATAAATTAATGCAAATGGAAAAAGACATAATGCCAATCAACTCCAGGGCTTTGGCTACTTAAACATAGTATTAAATAATTTTCGGAATCCAACTCCAGCTCAGCTCTTAGCCCTATATCCAACAAACATCCTGATCTCCATCCTTGAATGTGAGTTGTGGCTAGAATGCCCAATCACCAAGCAAACCCTTATTCATCCTTGAAAGCCAGCATCAGATGTTACCTGTTTGTTCCAGGAGATGGTCTAAAAACGTGGTTCTCGCCCTGGCCGGTTTGGCTCAGCGGTCAGAGCGTAGGCCTGCGGTCCTGAGAGACCCGGGTTTGGTTCCCACTAAGGGCATGTACCTTGGTTGCAGTTTGTCCCCGGCCCTGGTCGGTTGTGCGGGTGGCAACCACTCGATGTGTTCCTTTCACATCGATGTTTCTCTCTCTCTCTGTTCCTCTCTCTCCCTCCCACTCTACCTGAACAAAAAATGGAAAAATGTCCTCGGGTGAGGATAAAAAAAAAACAAAAAACGTGGTTCTCAACCTTCCTAATGCTGTGACTGTTTAATACAGTTCTTCATGTTGTGATGACCCCCAATAAAATTATTTTCATTGCTACTTCATAACTGTAATTTTGCTACTGTTATGTCTTAGGCGACCTCTGTGAAAGGGTTGTCACAACCCACAGGTTGAGAACTGCTGGAAAGAACTTTAGACTCCATAATCTTCATCAATTCTCCCCAAGCAACCCAAATAAAAATAAATTTAATAGGATTATTTTTGTGTGGATTAGAGTTTTTGCCATCTCATGTAAACTAGTATAAAACCATCTTTTAAAAACATTTCTATTTTTATTGACCTGTAACATACAATTTAAGTAAAAGCAAAGTACCTTCTACACAAGTGCATCTTCAAGACAAATCCTTTGGCCTATGCTTCCAAACAGATTGCAGCCACTAAGCCCCTTCTTTATAGAAATTCTGAAGCAGTCACTGAATATTCCTTGCTCTAAGAAGCTTTCTGTAATCTCTTCCTGCCAAGCTGTTCATAGTTCCTCTCTCTGGGTTCCCACCACTCTCTCCATATACAATTGTTATCTTACCAAATAATAGTATGGTGTGTTATTTATCTTTTATTTCTTTCACTAGGGTAGCTCTTCCAGGGTAAGGACACTACATCAGTTTTTCTCATGTGTAAAATAAAGATTGGAAGACATATCCTCATAGGACTGCAGTGAGCATTAAATATTATTCATATTTAAAGCACTTTGCACAGTGTCTAACATATAAGTGCTAAATAAATGTTAGCAATTACTTTTCAATACATGTTTGTTGAATGATGAAGAACTAGTCCAAAGAGTCCCACAGCAAACAGACTGGTAGATGTGTCATTTACAAAAGTGTATGGTAAGAAAACACACACGTCCTGAAATTACTTAAGGGATTACTATGTAAGCAAAATGCCTTCTCTATTGCTTATTTCAAGATGTGAGATGAAATTGAATAGCTTTTTAATGTCTAGTAGTTAAACAAAAAAGTTTTAAATACCTTGACACTGGGAAAGAAATGAAGTTTCAATTCTAAATTTCTGAAATGTGAGGTAGTTTATTAAAAATAACACAAAACAATTTCGTGTCTTGGGTACCTGTGCTGTTTCTGACACTATCATGTATTACTTCTTTATACCACAAATTATCTATAAATGTATTTGTTCTCAGGTTTTATGAAAAAAATCAAATGAAGTATGGTAGAAACACCATCAAATTGAAATAAGAATATTGGATTCTAGCCCACAAATTGGCTGTGGGCCTTGGACAATCTTTTAATTCCTCTGGGCTTCAGAGTCCTATGGAATTTGAAGGGATTGAACTAATGTCTAAAGTTCCATCCAGCTCTAAAATACAAAGTTCTTATAATATTGTATTTTAACGTTTTTCTTTGAGAGAGAGAGAGAAACATTGATTGGTTGTTTCCCGTATGCACCCCAACTGGGACCAAACCAAAACCTGGGCATGTGCCGTGACTGGAAATCGAACCAGCGACCTTTCAGTGCATGTGACAATGCTAAACCAAGACCAGCCAGGGCTTAACCTTTTTCTTACAGGGTTTTTCTCTTTTTTGAGGGAGAGGGGGCAGGAATCAAATCTTATTCATCTTTGCAACTTAGTGCCTAGAACCAATGCCTGTTTCCTGGCTCTGAATTGGTGCCCCCTGCAGAACTTCTGGTTAAAAAAGACACAGCAGCCCTGGCCGGTTTGGTTCAGCGGTTAGAGCGTCGGCCTGCGGTCCTGAGAGACCCGGGTTCGGTTCCTGCTAAGGGCCCGTACCTCGGTTGCAGTTTGTCCCCGGCCCTGGTCGGTTGTGCGGGTGGCAGCCACTCGATGTGTTCCTTTCACATCGATGTCTCTCTCTCTCTCTCCCTCCCACTCTACCTGAACAAAAAATGGAAAAATGTCCTCGGGTGAGGATAAAAAAAAAAAAAAAAAAAAGACACAGCAAATTTACAGTATAACAGGTTAGTAGCTAATATTTACATAATTATTGTATTATATAAGAAAAACAACTGGTGTGCATTAATATGATGTTTGATATTCAATATACAGATTCTATTGTTGATCATTTGAAACTGTTCATTTAGAAAAGGAATTCTAAGCCAAAAAGTGTCCTTATTCCCGACATATTTTAAGGAAATAGTTACAAAGCTTTTTAGAGAGGCTAATTCTACTAAATCTCCTTATTAGAAGGGCAATGCTCACCAATATCAAGTAGGTATCCAAGTGTTCACTTCCTAGTAGCACTTTGTAGAAAATACTTTTTTTTTTTTTTTTTTTTGGTACGTGCCCTTAGTGGGAACCGAACCGAGACTCTCTGGTCCACAGGCCGATGTTCCAACCGCTGAGCCAAACTGGCCAGGGCGAAAATACTTTTATCTTTGCTTTGGTACCAAAATTATAGACTGAAAGACAATGTGATCAATGTCTTGTGGAAGCAGAGTATATAGATACATAGAGAAAGCAAATACACACGTGTGCACACACAGTTTAACTCAGTAACTCAACTGTCTCATGTGCCCATTTTCAAGTTAATATTTAGTGCAGGCATTTATTGCAGGTGCAGTTCCAAAATATCTCAAATATGGAATGGAAAATGGGAGTGATTAACTAACAAGAAAGGGAGGCTATATTGGTAAAACAGATGGAGAATTTTCCCACTTCTTTTGACCAAGGGCAGATGGCTCTCTCTGGATATATCCCAAAAATTTACAGTTAAAGGGGATTCCATCTCTCTATTTTAATAACAATGTGACTGAAATTTAAGATGCATTTACTTTTCAATTTCCTAGACATGAATAATTGGGAAGTGAAGGTTTTTTCTTTCTTTTTAAAAATTATTTTAAAATGTTTATTTTTCAATTACAGTTAACATTCATTTTATATTAGTTTCAGGTGTACAGCACAGTGGTTAGACAATCATATACTTTACAAAGTGACCCCCTCCAATATTTCAAGTATCACCTGGAACCATATATAATTATTATAATATTATTGACTATATTCCCTATGCTGTACTTTACATCCTTGTAATGGGATAATGCTCAATCCATTGAGCCACACCGGCCGGGCCCAATTTGTACTTCTCAACCCCTTTAGTCTTTTCCACTCAGTCCCCCAAACACCCCTCCCCTCTTGTCAACTATCAGTCTGTTCTCTCTATCTATGAGTCTATTTCTTTTTGTTTGTTCATTTATATTGTTCTTTAGTTTCCACATATAAGTGAAATCACATGGTCTTTGTCTTTCTCTGTCTGACTTATTTCACTGAGCATAACACCTTCAAGGTTTTTTCTAATATTCAGCTGTCAGCCTCAACCACACCAACCCACCAACCCAAGTTTGAATGTTACTCACAGATTAACTACATAATTGACACAAGCACAATACATTTTTTATTGTTAAATTACTATGTTGCCATATGCAGAGCAAAAAAGTAAAGGAAGAGATTACCTGTGCATTCATTCACATTTTAAATTCTTGAATGATAAGTGAATGATCAGTAAGGAAAGAAAACTGAAGGGCTTCCTTATAATCTTCTAATTTTTCTAATAAAACATGCTCAAAATATTAGAAAAACTTGTTTTCTACATGTGATATCATATTAATAAACAAACTATGTTTACTTCAATAAACTGGAAAGACTCCCTCAATATTAAGGGCAGTGTATCTCTGGCTAATGTAATTATCATTTGGATATAATATAAACATCAAAAAAATAAAAGGGTTGGCATGGTTCAAAAATTTCCAAAGTGTTAGCACTCTTAATGCTGAGTTTCCAGTTCCAGAATTGTCCATTCCCCTTGGGGTGAACAATCTTCCGAGGAAGAACTAGCCATGGTGATGCTTGCTGAGGAATCCAGTGGAGAGGTTAGTTCACTCCATCTGTTCAAAGTGTCAACATGTGCTTTACCCTGAGGTTTTGAGCTGTCTCGTGCTAAAAGGAGTGTCTGATTGATTAGATACTGTGCTAAATTTAAGTCTTCAGGAACAGAATTTGTAATATTTAAGTTTGAATCCTGTTCAGAGAGCAGTTGCCTTAATAGTGTCCAATCTTGTTTTGCAAAGTACTGATCATCTTCAAAATCCATGTCTGTAATGTGTGTTTCTGATTCCATTTTCTGCTCAAATGCTTCTATTACATCCATCTCATATATTGGAGAGAGGGTTTTTGAAGGCCGATGGTCATACATGTAGGTTTGTGCCAGTGTATCACAATCATCTATGTCTCCTGAAATAATTCATAATACTACACAATGTAAAAATTGCACATGTTGGTACCCTCAGAGTTCTGTAGAACAATATAATAGTTATAGTCCAAAAAAAAACACAGAATGGGAAAAATAACATTTATACAAAACTGACAAGATTTCTGAGGCATTTCTTTTTCTATCTTAAAAAAAACACACACAACAACTCAAGGATAATGTTTAGCAGCAAAATCAAAATCGATAACTAACAGTATTTCTCCATACTTTAATTTTAAAACTTGTGATACAGAAAACAATAGAAATTATTTAAACATAAACATAGAATATGCACATGTATCTAATTCACTACAATAAAAAAGAGAGAGAGAAAAAAAGACATGGCTATTTGATGGTGACTTTTAAGGTAAGTCAGTTCTAAAAGGAGAATAAATATATTTATCTAAAGCCTTATTTGTATATTGCACATGCAAAGAAGGATGCAAGCAAGGACAAACAAAAAAGTACAACTTCAAGGGACTCCCTATTCTTGTGATTTTGCTAAACAGGAACTATTGATCAGTATTTTTCTTAGTTCTGATACACAATAGCTACTCAGTCAGCAACTATTGCATATTTTAAATGTGGGTTATTAGTTCAAATTACTATAGAAGGACGACAAACGCAAAACAATTAGACAGAAAATCATCTAAACATATGAAATAAGCCTGGGCTTTTTCATATATTATCATTGCTTCTAAATATAATCTCTTTAAGGAAATTTATCTTTTTACTTGAAAATTTTAGAATAGAATTATAGTGATCCTTAAAGCCTTGATCTCTGTAAAATGTATATAAATTGTAATAATCTAGTTAAAATAGTTCAGTGCTTTTAGTTATATATTATTATAGTTATTGCACAGACCTCTTAGATATATACTAGTATAGTCCATAAATCATATCCATTGTATAATAAAATTTCTAATAGTCAAGAATTCCTATGTTAAATTAGACATAAATAAATAATAGCAAACTAAGTTTTTCTCTTTATTCTTTCATGTAAAATCTCTTAAGAGTAAGTTAGTTCTAATAAATAACCAAAATGTTTACTAGATATTGATTCTACACTAGGATTTTAAGTGAACAATAAAGAGTAACTAGCTAATTTTAATATTAAGAAATTTAAGTTTTCATTTAAAATTTGAATCTGTTGCTTAAATAATTACTCTATCTAACTAAAATATAACATTCAGGGCTACATACAATTTTAAAATTCTATAAACTAATTTTCTTATGGATTTAACATTTCTATTTCTGTACATTACCTGCAGATAAAGCAATATTAGCTTTTTCAGTAGCTGTAGAATGGCTCTCTTTCACTTGAACTTCCTGAGGCAGAAGCTGACTCCAACAGGAGTCCAGAGTTTTTATAGAGCTGGTCTTTGGTATGTCAGAATTGGGTTCTCTTTGATGAAGCTCCAAATGACATGGTCTTTCTTGAGATTTTGTATCATTATCTGAGAGTTTGCTACGTTGCTGAAAGTCATTATCTACATTGCTTCCATTGTTTATTTTTTTATTTTCCAGAAGAAGTTGTCTGCTTCCTTTGGACAGGACATCAATTGCAGATTTTTCTGTGGCCGAAGCACTCTGTTTATCTTTTCTTGGAGAGTCAGTGCTATTAAAGCCCAAGAGAAAGCTTTCATTTTTACATACACTATTGCCTTTATCTTGTTTACATTCAAAAATACTGCCTTCACTTCCTTGTGAACCTCTGGAATAGCAGGTCTTTCTAGGATGTTCATGAGAAATGCCATCAAAAACATCAGAAGGTGAAAGAGAATCTATAGAAGGCTGCAAGGGAGTATGAACTTCCCCTTCATCAGATCCCAGTTCTTCACATTCATCTACTGAAAGTAAAATTGACCTTTTAAAAATTTTAGTTGCAGAAAACTCGTGACTTTCATTTTCAGCTGCATCTTCAAACGCTAAATTAATTATCCCCTGAAAATGCTGAGGAGCTAAGTTAGATATTGAGAAATTTTCTGCAACATTTTCAGCTTCAGATCTTTCATCTTCTGTTTCATCTGCTGAGGAAGAAACTTGATCTACTTCCTGAGCAAACTGGACACTGCCTCGTAGAATATTATCTTTTTCCTTAGGGTGGACTATTGTAGACCGAGACCAAATTTCTGGCCTTTTCCTAGGAATCTCATCATCACTTGTCGAATTAACTTGGAAAAGATCATTACTACTTTGCTTTTTCATTTTCACTTCAATTCTTAAGTTACTATCATATATTTTTAATTCTTCAGGAGTACTGGTATCACTGCTGCTTCTTCCAAGAAAATCATGGCACAGCATAGTGCCACATTTAGAAATACCTCTGTCATTTGACCCATCATCATCCTGAGACCCTCCAGCATCGTAGTCTTCAGACCTGGGCTTTATGTCATCAGAGGACGTGGTAGCACTGCCAGTGTCAGATTCAGGACTCTCTCTCTGATGCAGAACACTGGCACTCAAATTCCAGTGACTCATGAATGGAGCTTCTGGATTTTCATGGCAATCTGGAGTTGCTGTTGTTTCCATATCTTTAGGAGAATTTTTTCCTGATATTGGTTCTAAAAAGCACTTGGAGGAGCTATCCGAGTCTGCAGTAGCATCTTTGTCTTCATTCATAGCAGAGTCATCAGATAACTGACTAGGAATTGTCTGTTCTACATAAAATTTAGATTTTCTATCATCTTGAATGGTATGTAAAGTACTATTTGTTCTTTCAAGAACACAAGGTAAAACATCTTTCACACATTTAATGCTTGAGTTTTTGATCATGTCTTTTCTCCCTATAGGCTTCTCCTTATCTAATACTGAATAAATTTGCTCTTCATTTGCTGAGTCTAAATCACAAACTGGATTAGAGTTCAAGAGGTTTTCATTTGGATTTGAAATCATGGATTTTATGACAACGGTGCTACAACACTTTGGATCTACATTATCACTTCCATCAGAATGACAATGTAGTTTACCTGTGTTGCAACAATCTGTTTCTTTATGACTGGAAGATTGTGTTTCACTTTTATCTGAACAAATCTGTCTTGATTCCAATTCAGGTTTTATTGATTTATCCAGATTTGAAATATTTTGGCATTCCAATACCAATTTCTCGTTTTCTTGATTGTTTAATGGCTTTTGTGGCTCAGGTGTGCATGATGACTGGGATGCTTCCATACCACGGTTTTCAGAGGTGAGGTTAATTAGAGGTTCATGAGGCTTCTGTTCAGTAACACTGCCCTTGTTATTACTCTTCTGGACAACAGATGTTTCACTTTTTAAAGGTCTTTGAGAAGAAGACTGAGTCTTCAATGTGGCCTGTCCAGGAAACATTTTCTGTTTTGAATCTTTATTATTCAAAGTTTCACCTTTCTTAGATTGATGTAGGTTTTTAGGTATCGCCACTATTTTTGCATTAACCTTAGGTAAAGTTGTGTGCCCCTGCTTGACAATTTTTCTCTTAGGTGTTTGTTTATCTGTTATACTGTGGTCCAACTTTGTTACATTTCCATCAGACTGCCTTGAAGAGACTGAAGATTTTACTGAATTTGGTGAGTCTCCTTGGGATCCTAAGAAAAGAACATTCAAAAATTTAATATACCTTCCAATCTGTGAATGAAATTCAATATTTGTTTTTAAATTATTTCAGAAGAAATAGAATAAATAAAAGCATGAAATGGTAACATCTACAATCAGATGGACAATTACAGATTGGGAGTTAGTGGCATAATAAAATTAAAAAAGAAAACATTCTTCTATTATAAATATGAAAGAACTATTCCAGAATCTTAGTAAAATTATTACAATAGGATCTCTCTTCCTCAATTAAAGAGCCTTCATACGTATGACAGAATTAGATTTGCATAAATATATGAGGGTGGAAAATTCTGATTTTCTTATTCCAAAAGAGCAGCAAGAGACTGACTACCTTTGAAGTTTTTTAGGAGGAAAAAGAAGAGACTATATTCCATATAGCTGAAAAGGAGAATCAAGCTAAAAATAAAATAAAATGTTAAAACCGCTGCAATTTCCCCCCTCAAACATGAACAAAACTAATTTATTTCTCATGACCAGATCATTATTATTTTAGCTTATTAGGGTTAAAACTTAGATATGCAGCTGAAACTAAAACTGGTAACTAGAGGGAAAGAGGATTAATTTTGGGAATCTATTTGTTTATACTGGTTAAAGTCTTAGAGATCATATTTTGAGCACTATCAAACAGAATTACCAAATATTTTTAAATATGTAATTTTAACTATAACTAGAACATGAATAATTTTTTCTGTTTTATTTTTTATTTACTTTCAGTATTAATTCATTATTTAACTCAAACTTGTTTTTAGAATTTTACAAACTGCTCCTAATACATACAGCAAATTCATTTTAAAATCAGTTATTATGTTAGCAATTATGCAATTTGATCAGCACCCTTTTTTCTCTTATAACATGGAAAAACAACAGGCACAACACAGATTCCAGAGGGAAAACTCTTCCTTCTATGTATTGCAGTTCTCCAGACTGTGCCATTACTCTTTCTAAAAATTGAAATACATGTTTATTAATATATAATTTTATATTAAATCTTTTTTTGAAATTATTGTTTTAGGGCTCATATCCAGAATCACATGGCATTATAATAATATGTATGATGTAAACCTCAACAAGACTTTTTCACTTTCTTCGAAGGAGAAAAATGATCCAGCTTGGTGGCAAGGGCAACAGTACGTAGCATTCCGCATGTGTGTGCTATTACTTTTTTTTTTTTCTTTATTAATTTTTTAGAGAGAGAGGAAGGGAGAGGGAGAGAGAGACAGAAACACTGATGCGAGAACTGGCTACCTCCCTCATGTCCCCCACTGGGGAGCGGGCCCACAACCTGGGCATCTGCCCTGACCGGGAATTGAACTGTCAACCTCTTGGTGCTTGGGTCGATGCTCAACCACTGAGCCACACCAGCAGGGCATGTGTGCTATTACTTTTTAAAGAACTCTTTAGTGTTGGTTTTACAGATGGAATTCCTAGTTATCAATGAAACTGAAGAACAGAGACAGAATATATAAAAGGATCAGAATGCAGATAAAGTAGTGACTCCCTTAATTATTTATCTTACAAAAGACAATAAAAACCAAACCAACACCCCAGAATACCAAAATACTTGTCTGAAAAGTAAAAGTATAAAATCTCATTTCTATAGCATGAAACAAATGTAAAATGAGTGAACCTGTATCTTGCGTATATGCTGCTCAAGCTCCAAATAAGAGTTCTGCTTATTCAATTGAAACAAGGAAGGAACATCAGGACTATGTCAACTGTACCTTGAGTTTTGGCAAGATTGGATGGGGTATTCTTTGTCCTCTGCTGAGCTGCAGCACATCCATTGTCATTTCCTCTTTTCTTTAAAATTGCCTGTGGTACTGGATCACTATATCCTTTGCTAGTGACCTTCTTTAGCGCACTAAGAAAAATGATTTGCATTCAGCATTACATTGAAATTCCAAAACACGAGCTTTTAAAAGATCCATACATGAAATACATTTTTCCTCAAAGAAGTAAAAAATATGTCTTTTCTGAAAATAAAAACATGTTCATGTCTTTAAGTTTATAAAACTGTACATAAAGTATGATAAAGCAATGCATAATCACATGTGACAAGTGTAAATTATTTGCATCAATCTTCATTTTGCATAAATATACTTACTAACTTCTTTTAGTAAATAAGAAAAAATTTTAAATACCATTGTGTAAATACATTAAATTTTCTAACAAAAAAGAAAAGGTATTTTAAAACATTTAGCTAGAAATTAGTATATAATAAACTTTCAGAGAAATCTAATTGTATAGGTAAAACAATGAATGAAGACTTACCTATTATTTATATTAGTTTCTTGTTCATGGATGCTTTTTTTATTGAAAGTTCCATTGGTAACTTTTGAAACAGGTTGAGATTTTACTGCTGTAAATTAAGAAAAAGTGAATCAAGAGATAGAATACTAAATATATAACAATTATGTACAAAGTCACTGGTCAGACACTATAATCAAAATTAAATGCTAAGGTGGGAAAAATTGTGTTCTCTCTGTTTGCATGAATACATGTAAATAAATACTTTTTTTTTTTTTTTTGCTTTGGCACTAAATAAAAGTCCAAACAGGTCATTTTTTCTAGGAACTTTAACTATCAGGAGCTTTTAAAAATTAGAGTGCTAAAACCCACCTACAGTGGAAGTTTTGATACATTCTACACTGTTTTTCTCTGTCTGTCCTGGAGAGTCACAAAAGGACAGTTCATGACCAGATGGCTTCTCTTCTCCAAATGATCCATTTTCTTTGGGTTCATCCAGACATTCAGGGGGAACCAATAATTCCATACTTGAATTTGTAGATCTGCTGGAGGGTTCTGTGATGCCGAGGCATGGAGAATCTTTTCCTGTCACTTTCTTCAAAGGCTTTACTCTGGCTTGCACATTTAAGTTTCCAGTGAGTACCTTGGGTCTGGCACCTGAAATCTGTCCTTCTTGGCCTCTCACTCCTTTTCCATTGAATGTATTTTTGGGTCCATTTGTTGCTGCTGTTGCTGATCTTTCTACAGCTTGTCTAGGTGACATGTTTGCTGACTTGGTATTATCATTGTTTTCTGTTTTCGGTTTTATTATAGCTTTGGGCTTTCCAGAAACATTTTTTCCCCCAGATTTTAATTCTTTTGTAACCTTAGGAGCTATTTTCATACTATCCTTTTCCTTGAAGTCATCATGCTTCAAAGTTGTATTTATAGTTTTTCTATTAGTACTTGATGAATGTCCAGATGCTCCTAATCCATCGGATTTCATCTTTTGATTAGTAGAGGGACAACTCCAGCACTCTTTCTTGTTATTTTCTCTCAGAGATTTGTTTTTTATAACACCAGAGTCAGAAACTTGTCTCCTTTGCTATAAAGAAGAAAAAAATACTTTGTAACTTGACTAAAGTCTTTGACATATAAATACTTTACATTTTAATAAGCTAGTTTTTCAAAGAAAAAAAACAACAACAGCAAAGCTCATATTATAATTTAGGTCAATTCAAAACTTGAATTATCTTTGGTCGTTTTGAGCAATACTTTCAATGTATCTTTGATCACATTACCTTAATCAAATCTAAAAAGACAGCACAAAATATATAAAGCCTATACAATTTAAAAAGGCATATTACTAAACTTTATGACATTTATGATAGAGAATCCATACTTAACAGTGTCAAGATGCCTTGAGTGAATGATAACAACATGCAATACTTCTGAGGGGCTACTCCCAGGTTCTGTACTAAAACCCTTTTCATACATCATCTCACTTATCCTCACAACAATACTATGAGATAGCTCCTGTTGCTTTCTCTGTTTCTTAGGCAAGTAACAGGATTAAAGCAGGTATGTGATTTACCCATGATCACATGCTGATAAGGGATGGAACTAGGACTTGACCTTGTGATTTACTGCTTTAAGTCAGTAGTCATCTATGTGGTATAACCTGAGAGACAGTATCAAGCTTTTCACCAAAAATTCTCTCTCTAATCCGACTCCTCTATGGTAAGAATTATTTACTTCTTGAAGTCCTCATTAAAAAAAAAAAAAAAAGCGCTCCTGAGAAACATAACGCATCACATCTGAAAAGTTTGGTTTTTAAAAGAAATAAGACAGAGATACAGAAAACAAAAATAGTAATACAACATAGATTGTCTGGAGGAAGTGGGGGGAAAAGGAATCCTAAAAATAGGTAAGAAGGGAAACTAGAAAGAAACTGAAGACTAATGTATCTATTTCATCATTTTGTTTAGAACCAACCTTGATATGGAAGGGAGCAAAAATTTTTTTAAATTGGTGGAAATTTTAAAATCCAAATTTAAAATTATATTGCCATTTTTATGTAAATACCCCCTTCCCTCCCCGGTCTAGAAAGCTGTATGAGATTGTAGTGGCATGAGGCAGAGCCTATTTATCTTGTCTCTGTATCCCTTAGCATTGTGCCCATCACATACCGGGTACCCCCAAAAATGCAATAACTGTTGTTAAACCTGAACAAATATTGATACACAGTTCAAGGTCTAATTATTTTTAAATATAGAAAGCTTCTAATTACATTAAAACTTTGTCTAAGATAAAATAACATATATATATGTATGTATGTATGTGGATATGTGTGTAGATTCATATACATACCCACATACACACATACATATATACATACATAATAAATAATAACCAGGCTAAGTTTAGGGAAAAGCAAACTCTGATAATAAAGGAATCATTAGATTCTTGCTCTAGCTTTGCCTCTGATTTAGGATATTTAAGAAGTCATTAACATCTCTGGGCCTCAGATTATGCATGTCCAGAAGGTGGAGACTGGTCCTATTCAGTGCAGTGTTCTAGAATTCTGTGTAATACTTATAAAGTTCAAATAGGCTTAGCCCCCAATTTTTGTTTTCTTGATAAAATCTTAACTAAAAACATTTATTTATTTATTTAGAGGGGGAGGCAGAGGGGTAGAGAAAGAGAGAAACATCAATTCGTTGTTGTACTTATTTATGCATTCATTGGTGGATTCTTGTGTGTGCCCTGACCTGGGATAGAACCCACAACCTTGGTGTATCAGGACGATGTTCTAACCAACTGAGCTACCTGGCCAGAGCTCTTTATTTTTAAAAAAATTCTAAAAAATATTTCTTTAGCCCTGGCCGTTTTGGCTCTGCATCAGCCTGCGGTCCAGAGAGACCCGGGTTCGGTTCCCACTAAGGGCATGTACCTCGGTTGCAGTTTGTCCCCGGCCCTGGTTGGGGTCATGCGGGTGGCAACCACTGAATGTGTCCCTTTCACGTTGATGTTTCTCTCTCTTTCTTTCTTCCTCTCTCTCCCTCCCACTCTATCTGAACAAAACACAAAAAAATGTCCTCGGGTGAGAATAAAAAAATATATCTATTTTCTTTTTTAAAAAAATTTTTTCCCTTTTATTATTTTACAGAGAGAGAGCTAGAAACATCGATGAGAGAAAACATCGACTGGCCGTCTCCTGCATGCCCCCCCACTGGGGATCAGGCCCACTACCTGGGCATGTGTCCTGACAGGGAATCGAACCGGTGACCTCTTGTTGCATGGGTCGACGCTCAACCACTGAGCCACACTGACCGACTATTCTTTATTTTTAATACCTAAAACCAGGTAGGCCTCTTCCCACTCTTAAAATTGATCCTATTTAATTTATTCTATCATTGAATCTATGTTAAAGCATCATGCTAAGGGTGAGATCTATATAGTTTATGGGGTAACTACATTCCTTTAGAAGTTTCACATTAACATAGTACCTCATGATGAGGATTCAATGTATATGCATTTCTAGGCAGTCTCTGACTTGCATTAGCAAAGTTTATGTATATCACCTATATACAAATGGCCAATTGGAAATGGTCACCATATGCTATTGACAAAAATAAAAAAAAAGAGGGTAACCCTCTAAAGCAATCCTCTCAGACACCTTTTTGAATCTAGTACTATTCCCTCTTGTTTTGTTTTAAACTTTTTAATATAGCCTGGCCAGTGTGGCTCAGTGGTTGAGCATCAACCCATGCACCAAGAGGTCGCCAGTCGATTCCTGGTCAGGGCACATGCCCAGGTTGCATGTAGGAGAGAGTCGATGTTCTCTCATTGATGTTTCTCTCTCTATCTCTCTCAAATCCATAATAAAATAAAATAGAGTAAAAAAAAAAAAAAAAAAACTTTTTAATATAGAAAAATTTTAACAAAAGAAAACAGAATAGTATCATGAAACCCCATGTACCTATTATCAACTCTGGGCCAATTTTGTTTAATATATAACTACCCTCGCCCTGGCCAGTTTGGCTCAGCGGTTAGAGCGTCGGCCTGCGGTCCGGAGAGACCCGGGTTCGGTTCCCGCTAAGGGCACGTACTTCGGTTGCAGTTCGTCCCCGGCCCTGGTTGGTCATGCGGGTGGCAGCCATTCGATGTGTCCCTTCACATCGATGTTTCTCTCTCTCTCTCCCTTCCTCTCTCTCCCTCCCACTCTATCTGTACAAAAAAAATGGAAAATATCCTCGGGTGAGGATAAAAAAAAACAAAACTACCCTTGTTTTATTTTGAAGCAAATCTCAGATAGCATATAATTTTACCCTTAAGTATTTTGATACTAGCAGTCTTCTTAAACTTTTCTTTCTGCCTTATTTTATTAAGTTTCTCCTACCTCCAAAATATCTCATTCTTTTTGGAAAGAATTTATTTGTTCCACACTTACTACACACCAGATAATTGCATATAACTTATTTGATTTACTTTTCACAATAATCCTGCTAGGTTTTATCACTCCATTTTATAGATAAGCATACTACAGCTCACAAATGACAAGATAATAAAAGTGAAGTCAAGATTTGAACTCTTCTGATGCTATGTCCAGAACCCATTTGGAATACCAATGCCTTTCTTAGGGAAGCATATTAATCTTTTTTTCCCCTTGTGGCTAAGAGTATAAACCCTTGAACAACCTGAAAGTCAGGGGGATAAGGAAGAACAATGAGATTGTTTCATTTTGCCGTAGGACGAGGTAGGAGGAAAAGCCTGGTAGATAACAGTTAGTAGAGCAGGGGAAAGGAAGACAGGTAGGCTAATTCTTGGGGCCTTAAAAGACCCAACAGGGGATAACAGGGAACTGGTACACACACAAAAAAATGCCCTAAGGTGCATTTCCTAGAGTCAGTTAAATGTAACTATATCATATGCCTAAAAGAGGCTGAGGGGGAGTCTAGTGGTGTTCTGTGATTATAAAATTTGGGGAAATTTTGGATAAAAGAATTCAAGTTTTCTTTATTGTTAACGCTTCTCAGAAAGGTGCGTACATCATCAGTCTCTTAGAGAAACTATCGTGTGCAGCAATTCTCAAACCTAGATGATGCTACATGTTCCTAGGTGGAACATGAGGGAGCTGGTATTCTGTGAAACACACTTTGGGAAACAGTCCTAGTTTGCTGGCAAAAAAAATCCAGTGTCCCAGTTTTTCACATAAGACATTTGGAGCTTGACCCCTGCCTCAAGCCATGAGAGTTCTTATCTACTGGCTGATGAGGAAGAAAAGATTCTTTATCCCGCTCAGCAAGGGTAGTCTATTCTCTGCATTCAAAACTGGAGCTCAATGTATGTCTCTGTATCACTGTAATGCACACATTATGCACACATAATGGTTAATATAATTTCATACTTCAAATATATTATTAAGTGACCATCTGTAAGTTAGCTAGCTTGGACCTCTAACCATCATTAATAACATTTTTTAAGAAGAAAAAGTATTTCACATTATAATGAATATACCAAGTAATTTATGTGTATGGTAAAAAAACAAACATAAAATTTACTATCTTACCTGTTTTTAAGTGGGCAGCACAATAATGTTAACTATATGCTTGTTGTATAACAGATTTCTAGAAGTTTTCCATCTTGTAAAACTGAAACTCTATGTCCTCCCAGCCGCTGGCAACCACCAATCTACTTTCTGTTTCTAAGGGTTTGACTACTTTAGATACTTCATATTAAGTATACTAAACAACTTTTAAAGTAAAACACAACTGTCTTTTGGTATTAATTGCCTTTTTCACACCAAATATATATGACATGAATTAAAATCTTGGTATAGAGAAAACTGGGACAACCAAAGTTTTCCTTTGTAAGAAATAGGTTAATTAGAAAAATAGACATGAATTAGGTCTAGAATTCTAGACAATTTCTGATCTCCTGGAATAGCTCCAATATGTTAGCTGCCAAAAAGGTTTTCAAAGAAATATAAAAGGTAGACAATATTACATTTTCTATGCCAGCTGGATATCAAAAAATCACATCATTAAAATACTTATGAAATGTTCACCTGATTAAAAAAAAACCTAAAAATTATTTCCATTAAGAAATAGCTTTAATGAATGAAAGAATAGATTTTTAAAAATTATTTTGAAATATAAAATAAAATTTAAATTATTTGGTATCCTTTTTCATTTGTACCTATAAAATTTTGAAAGTTTACCTGAGAGCTACTGAATATAGGCTTTTTACCAAGTCTTCGATCATCACCTTTGTCAAAAGCAGCTGTAAAAAGAAACAGCAATTTACTTTTATAGGAGGCACTATTATTAACATAGAATTAGAGGGAAAATAGTATACTAGCAGAAAAAGGTTATGTCTCGATGGAAAATAATTTTAAAATAGCTGAAACGAATCTAGTACACAAAGACAATTCCCTATTATATTAAAAAAATTTTTAAACCACATTTGAAATCTTATTATTTTGTCCCTCTGAATTTCATCATTAAAATTAATAAGAACTATAAAATCGCACAGAGAAGATTCATACATTTTTAAAAACCAAAATGTTCTCAAGCTGTAAAATTTTAGAAATAACTTTTAATTTAGAATTTCAAGTTTCAAACAATTATAGATTGTAGCAAATGTAATATTTTTAAACTATTAAATATGAGAAAATGTTTATCCTAAAAAATTATAAAAATACTGTTGAAATTAGCTACAGATATTTTCTGGTTATCATAAGGAAGGAGGAAAGAGAAAAAAATAAGGTTCTGTAGAAGTAAAACAAGAAACAATCCTCAAATTCATATTCTCCTTAGAATTTTATAGATTAGGTTTACATGGGGATTATTGGGGAAGTCAAGTCTATGTTCTTCAAATACGAAATTCGAATGACATCAGGAATATATATAGGAATAATGGTACAAGAGCTATAATACAGTTTACCTAATGCATTGTTGCCTTTTGAAGGTTATGAGGCTCTAAAATATATTTTGAAGAACTACATATAATTTCCAAAAATTATTTTATTTTTATTAAAATTGATGAAAATTCATTAAATTATCTGTAACTCTACCATGCATCTTCTACTATCTCTATCTATACGATTTGTGCTATAAGACAAAGCAGGATCATAGAAATAGCATTATCAGGACTGAATTATACTTAACAAATGACTTTGCACAATAATACACAGAAAGAAATTAATATATACGATTTCTCCCAAAGGTCAGTAACTCAAACTAGAATAAAGAAATGTTACAACAATGGCAACCTAGAATCACTCCTTTCTCTGGGGTTTCCCAATGCAGTAACTATCTATAAGTCAGGAGTAATTATAATTCAATAAATTTAAGATTTAAAAACCATTATTTTTACACTGATGTAATGTAATAGATCGAAAAGTTCTTTTTGACAATTAGTTGGATTACCAATAATTTTGTTTCAGATATGTGTATGCATATATAATGTGTTTACATGTAGTTTTAATTAGCACTTTGAAGAATTAAGATAAAGAACATTGTTTGAAGCTTGACTTAAGTATGAAGTCCTCTAAAATGGAGAAAAATCAAGTTAACTGCCAATCAGAAGAGAGATGAGTGATACCTACTCAGGTCTTATTTCTTCACATTGTACAGATTTTATAGTAAAGATTAAACTGTCATCTAAAAATCAATATAAAAAGAGTCACAAGGAAAAAATTTCCAGTTTCTAAAGACTTCATGATTTTTGTTGTTTCATGATTTTATTGCTTTATTTTTTTGTTGTTGGAATTTCTTTTAAAAGTGTTGTTGAGATTATATCTAGCTACACTATTTTGTTATGCTCATAACACAAGACAGAGCAAATCATATTCTGACTAAATCATTAAAGAATTTAACATATCTATGTACTATCAAGAATATATTATATCACATATAGCTTCCAGTTTTATAATACAAAAATGTTTGCTTCATAAAATACAGTCTCTAGTCTATTAACTTAAAATGTTTCAAAGTACACTTTCTGAATCTGCCAATATGTTTTCTAAGGCACCTGCTTTAACCCAAAAATAGTCATGAAGCCATTTTTAGTTCCATAACCTCAAAATTTTATTTTAATATTTTGAAACAAACACACATTCTGAGCTATCCACATCTTTTGTTTAATGCTAATGTTTCAAATGGTACCTATTAAATGTCAGAGACCACTGTGCGGCTCCTGAGGGACACTCCGCAATAGCACACACCATATCACTGAACCAATCAATTGTGAAATTAACCCATCTAATCTAGGCAAAAAACACAAGAAAGGCTATCACATGCAAAAGATGGAAAAGCTTTATGAAAATATATTTAAAAAGGGAGAGAAAGTATGATGTTTGGTGATCTGTTCTATATGGATTACATTTCCTACACTTCTAATCAATCTTTTTAAGTAAAACAAGAATGCTTTTAAGCAAATTTGGCTGGAACATTGTTGCTAATAAAGTAAGATAAAAATGCACACACACACACACACATGAAATTCGTTTCATTTTCTAAGAACAGCAAAAAAAGCATGATTTATTAAAACTACCTAAACATTCTATCACTAGTTCCAATCAGCAAGCTATTATTAAACAGAAGCAAACAAACATTAATCTTACCACTTATTAGAATCCCTTCAAAATATCACTTGTCACAAAGATTATAATATAAGAATAAAAAAATCTCAAGGCTAACAAACCTGCTTGGATTTTCTGTTGATCATCTGTGCTCATCAGCTTCCAGCTTTCTGTGTGACGAACAGCATAGAAAGACTGAACCAGGAAGATCCACAGCTTATCACGCAGAGCCTGGATCTTGCACGTAAAACCCTGCGTTCAAGCAACAAATCAGCAGCTGGTGAGAGCCACATTGTCATAGCAACCAGTCATTATTCCTTTCCGAATCTACTTATTCCTAAGCTAGATCAATGATGTCATCACTTAGATTTTCAAGATCGTCGGGTACATGTTATTTATGAAGGCTTACTCTTCACGACAGAATTTTACAGTGAACGTGAAGCTAAACCTTATCCTTTCAACCAAACATTATTTTAAACCACCAATGGCCTTATCATAAATACCTTCCTCAGCCTTTTCAAATTCACTATGACATTACAAGGTCAAATACTCTATACAATAGTAATAAATATGAAAAAAAAAATTTTTATCATTCTTTGTTGAAATGCAAAATGTCAATAATTTGCAATAAGCTTAGAATTTACCATTAACTGCATTTAAAAATAAGTAATATTTTAATTTTGCTTTTTCCCAGTCAATTCTATTTTAAATGTGATTATTTTAAGACAAAAAAAAAAGGAATTAAGACTATATTATAAAAATAAAAATACTGTTAATTAAAATTTCTAAAAAATTATTTTAAATTCTATGTTTTATATTTAGGAATTTTCATGTAATGACCAGGGAGAAATACTAGAGTGATGCTATACCAATTAATATTGTTAAGTACCAAACTATGTCTAGAACTAGCCAGTAAGATTGCCAAATTCAAAACTTTTATAATATATCCATTTGGAGGTAAATAAAATAAGATAAATTTTGCATTATAAAATAATTCCAAATATACACAAAAGTAGAGACTATATCCAACCTCCAGGTATCCATTACCTAGTTTCAATGAAACAAGCAACATTTAAAATATGCATTTAAAAAAAAATCTTAAAATAGTTCAAATGTTAAACCATTTTAATGAACTTTATTTTCAATACCATTTCTTTTGTACTGTCAGAGTTCAGTAACATGTCCAGAGCCATAAGAAGAGAGCAACTATTCTCGGTGGTAATGTTTTCTTCAATTGCTTTTAAAATTTTTTCCAACAGATCAGCTGTGCTGCTCATTGCTTGTGACTATAAAACACAGAAATAGATATTTAATAGCAATACATGCAAAATTGTAAGAAATGTGAAAGTCTGGCATAACAGCAGACCATTTATCATAACTGATTTCATCATACAAAATTAGAAATTTTATTTCCTCTGTTAATAATAATATAACAATTATTATAACAACTATTATAATTATAATCCTTTCTGTTGTTAAAAATACCTTCATATACATGCACACACACACAACTTCATATACATGCACACACACACACTTCTTAAAAGTCCAATTGTCCTAAAAACAGAGCCTAGAAATAAGTAATAGAAGTTCTTTATTCAATGACTAAATTTGAAGGAAACAAAGAATTTTACATGGACCATTTTATTAGTGACCAAAATGGTACCTTTATGACTTTGGTTTCTAAAATATGGCTTATGCTAATAGAGGGTTATAGTTGGCAAGAGTTACATTGGGCCTTGCCAGGGTACTCAAACCTGTCCCCTCCTGACTTCATTATCTTGTGAGCCAAAAATCCTGTCCATCACTGCTCTAAATCCTATGCAAACCTGCCATCTGCTATGGAATTTATTTAAGCTTTACTAATTTAATCAGTGACAACCTGCATTTAAAAACTCTTACATAATTATAATCTGAACACAAAGATGGAACTAAATATAGGATATCATTTTAGACATAGTACCTGTAAGAGAAGAGCAAAATTTTCACTTTGAATGATCTTGGAGAAGTTTTCTATAATAAATGCAATACATTCTTCCTGTAGCTGAGATGCCATAGTCAGTGCTGCTTCTGTCCACTTCACTCTGGGTAAACTGATGATTAGCCTGTCACTTTCCATCAGAAGAAAAGCAGCATTCTTATCATTCTTAAAAATTTTTAAATATTGGAAAAAAGTTAGATTACTGCTCATGAAATATTTTTTTAATTAATTAATTTTTGTTACAGTTGTTCTTCTTTTCCCCCCACTGATTCCCCCTCACCCTCCCTCCCCACCCTGTCCCCACCTTTGTTGTCCATGTCCATTGTTCATGTACATATGCATTTAAGTTCTGTGGTTTATCTTCCCCCCACCCCCTCTTCTGGCAATTGTCAGTCTGTACCCTACTTCCACGTCTCTGGGACTACCCCATTCCTCAGACTGTTATGTTCATTATATTCCACAAATAAGTGAGATCATATGATACTTGTCTTTCTCTGTTTGGCTTGTTTCACTTAGGATAATACTCTCCAGGTCCCTCCATGTCGTCTCAAAGGATAAGAGATCTTTCTTTCTTACAGCTGCATAGTACTCCATTGTGTATATGTACCACAGCCTTTTTATCCATTCATCTACTGATGGACACTTGGGCTGTTTCCAGATCTTAACTATTGTAAATAGTGCTGCTACGAACATGGGGGTACATATATTCTTTCTAATTGGTGTTTCAGGCTTCTTAGGGTATATTCCTAGAAGTGGGATCACTGGGTCAAATGGCAGTTCAATTTTTAATTTTTTGAGGTAACACCGTAGTGTTTTTCATAGTGGATGCACCAGTCTGTATTCCCACTAGCAGTGTAGTAGAGGCCCCCATAAAATTATTTTCTAAACAAATCAAATACTTTTGTTTTCATGTGATGCTTCCTGCAAAAAAAACAAAATTTTAGGTAGGTAATATCTTTATCATTAGTTTTACCTGTAATACTTATTCATTCAGAATTATCCAAAAGGGCAAACTTAGAGCTTAGAAGAAATTACCTTTAAAAGATAGCTAAAACAGCCCAGCCAGTATGGCTCGATGGTTGAGCATTGACCCCATGCATCAGGAGGTCGCCAGTTCAATTCCCGGCCAGGGCACATGCCCAGGTTGTGGGCCAGATCCCCAGTGGGGGCATGCAGGAGGTGGCTAGTCAATGTTCTCTCTCATGGATGTTTCCATCTCTCCCTCCCTCTCCCTTCCTCTCTCTCTAAAAATCAATAAAGAAAAAATAAAAATAAACAAACAAAAGATAGCTAAAATAAACCTGAAAGCAAAGTTATAACTACAAAAAGAAACTTGACGTCCCTGAGATTTTCACTAATGAATTAATTTTTTTGTCCTTATAGATAGCATTCATAATTGTATGGCTACACTGGCATAGCCTTAATTCTTTTATGACTGACTATAAAATGCATGTTCTTTATTACAAATTTAGAAAGGCTAAAAATTACTTATAATCCCCAGTGACTTTTTTCCTCCTCTCTAATTAGCTAAGACCCCTCTTTTTATGTTTTATTCATTTAATGATGATTCATTTTTATACCATAGGAAAAATGTTCACAAATACTAATCTCTATGAAAAGTGGAACAACAATACACAAATATCATGGGCTCCAAGGGAAAAAAAAAACAACTTATAAATTACTACATCTTATTCATGTTTGATTTCTAGTTTTTAAAACAATGTCTGGTAATAACTATTATTGAATAGTTTACCTGACAAATTGTAGTAAACATATCCACAAATTTGCCCTGGCCGGTTTGGCTCAGCGGTTAGAGCATCGGCCTGCGGTCCGGAGAAACCCGGGTTCGGTTCCCGCTAAGGGCACATACCTCGGTTGCAGTTTGTCCCCGGCCCTGGTTGGTCGTGCGGGTGGCAGCCACTCGATGTGTCCCTTTCACATCGATGTTTCTCTCTCTCTCTCTCTTCCTCTCTCTCCCTCCCACTCTATCTGTGCAAAAAATGGAAAAAAAAATGTCCTCGGGTGAGGATAAAAAAAAACAACAAAAAACATATCCACAAATTTTTTGTAGCTCCATTCATCAAGAGGTAGAATCTATTTCCTCATCCCTTGTATCTAGTACTGGCCTTTTCAGATGCTCACACAAACAGTGGTGTTGTGCATGTTCCAGAGCATAGGCCTCAAAAAGCCTTGCAGCTGTGTCTTTAACCTCTTGGAATTCTGGGACCATGAGACCATACAAAAGACTGGTAAGAAAGACCACATGGAACAGGAGGCCTAGCCTCTAACTTAGCTCTCAGCTGAAAGCAGCCACAGGACTAAGCTCAGGCAAGATCAGCTAAAGAATCACCCAGTCAACCCACAGAATTGTGAGAAATAATAAATTGTAGTTTTAAGCCACTTAGTTCTGGGGTGGTCTGCTACACAGCCATAGATAACTGATAAATCTGGAAATGACAGTCTGAAAATTTTAACACAGGCTACATGATGAAAAATTTGCACACCCTCTGTAGTTTTTAGATATCCTGAAGCACTATTTCTTCCCTGATTCCTGTACCTACATCACATTACCTTTATACATGCCATCAGAGAATCTGTCCCTTTTCTTTAGATCACTTCATTCATTTGCAATTATTTAATAATTAACATAACTATTTGATTAATATCTATCTCTCTCATTAGGCTGTATGTTTTTTGGGTGTGAAACCATGTCTGTTTTTGGCTTACCGTTGTATCCCCTGGGCCTGTATAGAAATGGGTCATGGTAGACACTTAAATATTTGTTGATCTCTTAGCATTATCAGAGACTTGGAGTCTGTAAGTGAATTCCTAAGCTAAATCAAGTTTAATTCATGAATATCAAGACATTAAAATTTTCGCCCAATTATTAAGAATTCTTTTAAAACATATTATATACTCCCCCTGCTTTATTTATTAGAGTAAAATGAAACCATACTTTGCTATTATTCAACTCTTTTAAAATTATTTTAGTACCCTCATCCTTTTCTCCTCTGGTGACTTCCTGAGAAACTACAACTGTGATTACTAAGAGTTTTAGGCAATAAGCCCAACTTGCTGTACTATAGGGATTTTTCTGGTAGTAATGCCAAAAGTAGGGTATTCAAATAAACTTGGCAGATAGCCACAAAATGTTTACTACATACATGTTATGTAATCTGACAGTAATATCTTTTTCAAAATACAGATATAGAGTATAGGTGTCATAATTTAACCTGCAATTTATTTAAAAACTAAAATAACGGACATAAAAGATAACATGAGCCCTGGCCAGTCTGGCTCAGCGGTTTGAGCGTTGGCTGGTAGACCAGAGAGACCCGGGTTTGGTTCCCGCTAAGGGCACATACCTCGGTTACAGTTTGTCCTCAGCTCCGGTTGGGGTTGTGTGGGTGGCAACCAGTCGATGTGTCTCTCTCACATGGATGTTTCTCTCTCTTTCTCTTCCTCCCTCGCTCCCTCCCACTCTATCTGAAGATAAATGCAAAAATGTCCTCGGACGAGGATAAAAAAAGAAAGATAACATAGGTGGTTGTGATCTTATTCCTTACTGATCTGAATCTATGATAGCATTAAATGTCAGAGTAGCCTGAGGTTCAAAGAAGAAAATGTAATACACTTTTAGACCAAACACATAAAATTTTAATTCAACAGTTAATAGAACACATGGTTAAATCTTCAAAAAAATATAAAGGGCATTACCAAGAAGAGCCTCCCTCTTCTTCCTGTCCCAAGCCACCCATTTTCCCTTGTCCCAATCAATATTATTTATTTTCTGTATCTTTCCAGAGTTATACACATACAAACACAAATATATGTAATTTTCCTCAAATAGAGGCATTAATATGCTCAGTACTCTATACATTGCCCTTTACACTTAGCATACACCTGGAATACTTTTCTTATCAGAATATCAAGAACCTTGCTATTATTTTAACAACTGTGTAACAATCTATATATCATAAGTCATTCAACTAGTCCTCTTATGAACATGTATGTTGCTTCCATTTTTTTTTTTGGTATTGTTGCAATATAATAATGTTGACTCATATTATTTCTTTCTTTCTTTTTTTTTTATCCTCACCTGAGGACATTTTTCCATTTTTTGTTCAGGCAGAGTGGGAGGGAGAGAGAGGAACATAGAGAGAGAGAGAAACATCAATGTGAAAGGGACACATCGAGTGGCTGCCACCCGTACGACCAACCAGGGCCAGGGACAAACTGCAACCGAGGTATGTGCCCTTAGCGGAAACTGAACCCAGGTCTCTCTGGACTGCAGGCTGACGCTTTAACCACTGAGCCAAACCGGCCAGGGCAGATTAAGTTAATTTTTATTAAAACCTGAGTATCTACAAAAAAGACAAAATTTCAAATTTTCATTATAATCACCATGATGCTAAAAGGCCATTAATCAAACTTGGTGTTTGGCTTTTCTGATGTTCATCTTTTTATCTCTTGAAAGGAAAAAACACGCATTCACAGAGCTTATAAGGACCTGATTAGAGTTATAAAATAAAAATAAAGTATTGTAGGAGATGGAAAGGCATAGTATGTAGGGCTTATTCTTCAACTAAAACTCACTTATTTTTTAAAATATCAATCTTCTTAATAAGACATTTCAGTTAAGATGCCTCCCAATCTGGCCTTACTCTCTCCCCACACTGACCTTTTATTAATCCAGTTACAGCAGAATATTGGAACTACTCAGTCTCTAGGACCTGGACACGTCTTAAAAGTCTGTCAGAAATACCCTAACATACTCCTTTATTTTGAAATCGTCCTCTATTTTTCAGGGTCATCTCAAATTACTTCCTCATCCTTCTATTCAGAATCAATTGTTTTAACCTCTGTGATCTCATGTACATACCTCAAATACAAATTATACTTATTAATTTATTTACTTATTTGACAACATATACTGAGTGTCTAATATGTGCTAAGCACTGCTCTAAGGCTGAGGCTACAAAGGTAAATACGACTGACACAAAAACGTTAGTATTCATCATAGTCTAATGCACTTTACTTGGTTAAATGCCTATTTTTCCATCAATTTGTGTAACTTGAAGTCAAGATGCAAACTTCTTTTCTTTTAACAGGAAATATGTCATTGGTTGTTTTTTATTTTATTTGTTTTTTAATCCTCACCTGAG